AGTTATCTTTACTATATGAGATTATTTATGCTTAAATGTTAATTTACTGAGTCAGCTGACTGGAAGGCTTCTACTTATACCACCACCTCCTTTTAAAAATACATTTTTGGCCAGGCATGGTGGCTCACACCTTTAATCCCAGCACTTGGGAGGCAGAGGCAAGCGGATCTCTGAGTTCGAGGCCCAGCCTGGTCTACAGAGCAAGTTCCACGCAGGGGAGCTACAGGAAGACCCTGTCTCAGAAAGACCAAAAAAAAAAAAAAAAATACATTTTGGGTGCCAGGCGTGGTGGCACTCCTTTAGTCTCAGCACTCCTGGAGGCAGAGGCAGGCGGATCTCTGTGAGGTCAAGGCCAGCCTGGTCTACATAACGAGTTCCAGGCCAGCTGGGGCTACAGGGAGACACTGTCTCAAAAAGAAAAAAAAAAAACATTTTTGGGACTTCATGTATTATCACACACCTTTGATCCCAGCACCTGGGAGGCAGAGGCAGGCACATCTCTGTGAGATTCCAGCTGGGGCTACAGGGAGACCCTATGGGTTTGTTTTTTTTGTTTTTTGTTTTCTTTTTGGTCTTTCTGAGACAGGATTTCTGGCCTGGAACTTACTATGTAGATCAGGCTGGCCTTGAACCCACAGAGATCTGCCTGCCTCTGCCTCCTGAGTGCTGGGACTAAAGGCATGCCACCACCACACCTGGCGGTGAGACCCTGTGTTTTTTGAGAGAGAGAGAGAGAGAGAGAGAGAGAGAGAGAGAGAGAGAGAGAGTGTGAGAGTGAGTTTATATGTATGAATGCTTTGCTTGAAGTATTAAGTGCAGCTGTGTTGTGCAATGCCCATGGAGGCAAGAGCATGTTGGATCCCCTGGACCTGGAGTTACAGATGGTTAGCCACCATGTGGGTGCTAGAAACCTAATCCAAGTTCTCTATAAGAGCAGCAAGTGCTCTTAAATATTGAGCCATCTCTCCAGCCCCTAAAATTGTATGTTCTTAAACAGTATTCTTTAATTTTGCCTATTTTTCCCCCACTATTTTTGCCTTCAGTTTACTTGTCAAAGAAACAGGCAGATTGACTTGTAGTTTGTAGCTTGATCAAATTCTAGTTTGTTGTTTTTGATGAGATAAGACTGTAGGAAATACAAAATCTTCTGATTTTTTTCTTTTAGTGATACTAAGGGTGACTGATATTTAGTAGTTAAATTCAGTAATTTATTAAGAAATTTCAGGGTAGTGATTCTGCAGTCTTACTATTTACTGATAGAGCTATCTGTAGAGAAGTTTCTCTTTGTCTATTGTTATCAGGTGGTTCAGTTTATAGTAAACCTAGAAGATCAGATATTTGATCATTCTTCATCTTTTATCAGTTTGAAAATGATGGGCTTATTTTTACCAGCATCTTTCAGAGTAAACTTTTTTCTTCTGTATCTATGAACTTACAGATTTAAATATATTTCCTCCAGTTCTTCCAATTCCTTCTTTTCTTTAGCCCGTAAGAGCCTCTTCAAACTGATTCCCTGTCCTGTAGAGTTTATATTTGTGTGTAGGGGTGGGGGGGACTAAATATGTTCCATACATAAATATATATGTAGTTTTGTTTTTTGCTTTTTTTTTTTTAATAGTTTGGGCCTTGTGCATATTAGGCAAATGCTGTTATCATTGTTATAATCCCCAGCTCTGGTTTTTATACTTGACTGTATATTAGAGGTAGTCCTCATCAAACAATACAGAATTCCTTTATATTTTTTATTTTTTTTAAGTCTTTCTGAGACAGGTCTTCCTGTAGCCTCAGCTGCCCTGGAACTCACTATGTGTAGACCAGTTTGGCCTTCAACTCACAGAGATCCATCTGCCTCTGCCTCCCCAGTGCTTTATATATATATTTTTTAATTTTTATTTTATGTGTATGTGTGTATTGCCTGCATGTAAATAAGTGCACCCGTGTTGTGTAGTGCCCGCGGAGGACAGAAGAGGCTGTCAGATCCCCTGGAACTGGAGTTACGGACAGTTGTTAGCTGCCTTGTGGGTGCTGAGATTTGAACCCGGGTCTTCTGCAAGAACAGTGTTCTTAACTGCTGAGCCATCTCCCCAGCCCCACGCTTTATATTTTAACAGCATAGTCCATTGTATAGGTGTAAGTAAAGGCTTGCCAAATTTACCTTCCAAAGAGCAATGAAAAATCCTGTTTTCCTCTCCTTATCTTCTGATAATACTAATATGTAAACAATATTTTGTTCTTGTTTTTGCTTTTAGAGGTGGGGAGGGGGGGGAGTCCCTGTAGAACAGGCTGGCTTGTGAGATCCACCTGCCTCTGTTGGGATCAAAGGCATGCACCACCACATCTGACACTTTTTTTGATCTTTGATAAATAATCTCGCTGTAGTTTTTGTTTACATTTCCTTAATTTGGAACTGCCTGTTCTGTCACGTCTTTGACCCGTGTGCACCACTACACTTAGCTTGTTGATATATCCTATAATGATTTTGGGGCCATTGAATATAAAGGAATTTCTCTTTTGCAATGTGTTACACACATTTTTTTCCCTATCTTAATTCTTTTTTTCTTTTTTTCTTTCTTTTTTTTTTTTTTTTTTTTTTTTTTTTTTTTTTTTGTCTTTTTGAGACAGGGTCTTCCTGTAGCCCCCAGCCACCCCAACTCACAGAGATCCTCCTGCCTCTACCTCCCAAGTGCTGGGACTAAAGGCGTGTGACATCGTGCCCAGCCCTGATCTTAATTCTTTTGGCTGTGTTTTGTGGCGTTTACTTTTTAAGAAGATTTACACTATTGGAATTTACTAGATTTTATTGTTGCTCTGGTTTTTCTTTCCTTTTTTGTTGAGACAGGGTCTCACTATATAGCCTTGGCTGGCCTGGAACTCCCTATTTAGACCAGGCTGGCTTGGAACTCACAGAGATCTACCTGCCTCTGCCTCTTGAGTACTGAGATTAAAAGTGTGCATCACCACACCTGGCTAGAGTTGTTTTGTTTTGTTTTGTTTTTAATTCAAACTTAAAAAAGAATTAAGGTCAGAGTCCATCTGTCCTCATTTCCATTCACACACGCACACACCCGAGTTCTTTAAGAGTTGACAGCATGTTGACTTTTTACAACCTAGTACTTTAGTATATCTTTCCTACAAAAAGAATATTCTCCTAAATGATGATACTACAACTCTTTAACATCAGCAAGTTAACACTTACTCGGCACTGTTTTCTAATCTTTAGGCTCCATTCAGTTTTTACAGATTGTTGGAATAGTATTCTTTTTCTTTTTCTTTTTCTTTTTTTTTTTTTTTTTTTTTGACCTTTTTGAGACAGGGTCTCCCTGTAGCCCCAGCTGGCCTGGAATCAGACTGGCCTCACACTTACAGACATCCACCTGCCTCAGCCTCCCAAGTGCTGGGATTAAAGGTGTGTGCCACCACGCCCGGCAGAATAGCATTCTTTTTACAAAATGATCTAGATTTCGTTTGGTTAACCCTTTCTCTTCAATCCCAGAGAACCACCTTTATTCTCTAACAGTCATGGCAGAGACCATTTATTTAATAGAACAAATCAGAACAAATTTGGGCTTCTTTGATGATTCTTCGTAATTTAATTCAGGTTATGAATCTTTTATCAGGAAGATCATAGAAATTCTATGATTTTTTTGTTTGCTATCAGGTGACACACAATTTTGTTTTATTAATGACAGTGTTAACTTCAAGCTTTTAAACTTGTGGTTGGCATCTCTATTAGATTTATTTTGTTTCTCTTTTTACTTATGTGGGGAGATAACTTTGTCATCATCATACTTTTCAACATATTTATAACAAAACTGATTGCTATTCTCTGGGTTATCCCTTTACTCTGGTTACTAAGATTTATGACCCAGTGTAATTACCCCTTTTCAAGCTTACCTCCATGTCATTTTACGCCTTTATCATTCCTTGAGCGCTTTCTTTCTGCTATGCAATATCCCAGGCTTATCTTATGCTTTTCCTGCCCCAGCCCTGGAATCTGCCTCTTCTCTAAGGAGTATGAAAATTCCTTGTATAGAGAATATATCCAGAAGCAAGATCCAACTGCTGGTCATGCTCACTGCCCTGAGAAACTTGGTCTTCTCAGGCTCTGTCAGTGTTGACAACTAAGGATGCTAAGCATATTTGTCCACACATCTAAACACCTGCGTCTGTATTTATATAATCTGTAGTTTGAAAGCCGTGAGTTCACACTTTTAGCTCCAATTCTAGTCTTAACATTAAAGGAACTTTTTTCCATTTTCTCTCTTTTTATAGTTATACCTGTCTTCTCTGACAGTGAGAAATCTGGCTTCCATCATCCTATTTACTTATTTGGCCATCATTTTACCTTGTCTGTGATCCATCTCTGCCATCACCTCTCCTGTGTGAAGCTCTTCTCTCCCTGCTCTGCCTCTTGATGGCCCTGTTCTGGCTACTTCCTTTTCCCCATCCCTATTGCAGACTTTTCATACCCCTCTAAGCGTACCCTCTGTGGCCCCTTTCAGTCTGGTTGGTATGTAGTTCAACTGTCTCCTTTCCTTTTTGTTGTGACACTCCTTGCCAGACTGCGCACCTCACTTTGCTGCCTTGTTTGGGCTCTGATCATGTGGTCCTGCTCCTGTCAGCAGCTGTTTTTCAGTGTCTTCTGAGTTTTGTAGGCATCTAACATCTGTTGAATGGTTATCCAATTAATTGGCTAGTTTTATACAATAGTTGTGTGTATCCTTTCTCTTGCCAAATTTGAAGTTTTAAAGTTCACTGCAGTCTTAGACCCTTTAAAAAAAGACAGATTCTGTGTGTGGTGGCACACACCTTTAATCCCAGCACTTGGGAGGCAGAGGCAGGGGGATCTCTGTGAGTTCAAGGCCAGCCTGGTCTACATAGTGAGTTCCAGGATAGCTAGGGCTACAGGGAGACCCTGTCTCAAAAAAAAAAAAAAAAAAAAAAAAAAAAAAAAAGGACCAAAAAACAGATTTTTCTTATTTTTTTTAATCTTATTGCAGATGATGAGGTACCTGCAGATATGGTTGCAGAAGAATCAGGTCCTGGTGCACAAAATAGTCCATACCAGCTTCGCAGAAAAACTCTTTTGCCAAAAAGAACAGCGTGTCCTACAAAGAGCAGTATGGAGGTAAGTTCACTGTAATTGGTAATTAAAGAATTTTAGGGGAGCAGGGCGTGGTGGCGTACCCTTTAATACCAGCACTTGGGAGGCAGAGGCAGGCGGATCTCTGTGAGTTCGAGGCCAGCCTGGTCTATATAGCGAATTCCAGGTCAGCTGGGGCTACAGGGAGACCTTGTCTCAAAAAGACCAAAAAAAAAAAAAAAAGAATTTTAGGGGAAAAAAATAATGTCATTATTCTTTTGAGGTAATTATTATATGCAGTAGAAATATTTGCTTAGTTTTCTTTGTTTTTGAAGGGTGCCTCAACTTCAACTACAGAAAACTTTGGTCATCGAGCAAAGCGTGCAAGAGTGTCTGGAAAGTCACAAGATTTATCAGGTATTTTGTATGGGAAACTAAGGGGTAGGGCAAGATGTTTTAAAAATTAGTATTTGATGCCAAAAAATAAATATTATTTGAATATGTATTTTTTTATTTTATTTTTTTTATGTGTATGAGTGTGTTGCCTGTATGTGTGTATGTGTACCCATGTCATGCAATGCTTGTGGAGGTCAGAAGAGGGTGTCAGATCCCCTGAAACTGGAGTTACAGATGGTTGTTAGCCACCATGTGGATGCTGGGAATCAAACCCAGGTCCTTCGGAAAAGCAGTCAGTGCTCTTAACTGCTGAGCCATCTCTCTAGCCCCTTGAAAATGTATTAAAGTATGTATTAGAATCCTAACCTTTGGGTTTTTTGTTTTTTTTTTTAATGTGTATGAGTGTTTTGCCTGCATGTATATAAGTGTACTACAGAAGCTTGGAAGGGACATTTTATCTCCAGGAATTTGAGTTACATTTGATTGTTAGCCACTGTGTGGGTACTGGGAACCAAAGCTGGGTCCTCTGCAAGAGCAGCCAGTGGTCTTACCCACTGAGCCATCTTTCCAGCCCCCTCTTTGACTTTTTAAGATTTATTTTTATTTTTTATTTTTTATTTATTTTTTGGTCTTTTTGAGACAGGGTCTCCCTGTAGCCTCAGGGGTCCTGGAACTATGTGGACCAGGCCTCGAACTCACAGAGATCCGCCTGCCCTGCCTCCCAAGTGCTGGGATTAAAGGCATGTGCTGCCACACCCAGCAGATTTAGTTTTATTTTTAATTATGTGTATGTGTATTTGCACTTTAGTGCAGTTTTCTGCAGAGACCAGAAGAGGGTGTTGGATCCCCTACAGCTGGAGTTCCGAGAGGTTGTAAGGTACCCTGACATGGGTGCTGGGAACTGAACTCCTCTCCTGCAAGAGTAGAGTGTGCTCTTGACTATGGAGGCATCTCCAGCCTGACTTTCATTTTTGTTTAAAAATGCTTTTTGTCACCAGGGTCTGGTGATAAGGGCCCATAATCCCAGCTACTCAGGAGAGGAGGATGGAAAGAAAGTTCAAGGCCTCCCTAGATTTACAGAGTAAATGAGTTCAAGGCCAGCTTGGTAACCTTAGCAGAACCCTGGCTCAGAAAACAAACAAAAAGATGTCACATGGTATCTTTAAAAAAAAAAGATAAGTGGAGATAAATGTTTGTTATCTCTGAAAGTCAAATATTATGACCATCATCAAAAAATACAAGCTAGTAGATAAAATAAAAACTGTTCTTTAATAAGAAAGTCACTGGTTAATAACCAAATTGTTTACATTCTGTTAATCTCCTCTTTTAGCAGCACCTGCTGAACAGTATCTTCAGGAGAAACTTCCAGATGAAGTAGTTTTAAAAATCTTCTCTTATTTGTTGGAACAAGATCTTTGTAGAGCAGCTTGTGTGTGCAAACGCTTTAGTGAACTTGCTAATGATCCAATTTTGTGGTAAGTGAAAACCTACTCCTTATTATCTTGAAATCTATATTATATGATACCCAAAATGCCAAACATAGGGAAGTTGAAGCGTGAGTTTGTAGTTATAATTAAGTAGTTAAAACAAAATTTAAATGCTTATAAATTCTAAATTACCTGTTTGTCATAAATATGGATTTATAGACTTGTCAATTCAAGAATTACTTATGAACCAGTGGATGAAATACTCTTTCTACTATTTACCAGCTAAAAGGAACTAAGTGAGGGACTGGAGAGATGGCTCAGTGGTTAAGAGCACTGACTGCTCTTGCAGATGACCGGGGTTTGATTCCCAGCACTCACATGGTAGCTACAAACCATCCTTAACTCCAGTTCCAGGAAAACTGAAGAAGCTCTCTTCTGACCTCTGCAGCATTGCATGACACGGGTGCACTCACATAAATGCAGGCAATACACTCATACACATAAAATAAAGATAAAATACTTTTTTAAAAAAGAACTAAGTGTTGTTTTTTATTTTTTGGATTTTTTTTTTCCTTTTTTTAATTTTCAGGGGGTTTTAAACAGGGGTGTTCACAATCTTGTCTAGCCCAGGCTGCTCTTAGAATGGCTATGTAGCTGAAGCTGTCCTTGACCTCCTAATCCTCCTGTCCCAGTTTTTCAAGTGCTGGGATTACAGGTATATGCTACTACACCCAGCTCATTTCATTTCTACTTTTTTATTCTTTTACGAAGCAGAGTTGAGGTTTAACAGAGTTTTAGGGTTGTTTTGTTTTGTCTTTTTGAGACACGGTCTCCCTGTAGCCCCAGGTGACCAGGAACTCATTAGGTAGACCAGGCTGGCCTTGATCTCACACAGATTCTGCCTCGGCCTCCTAAGTGCTGGGAATAAAGATACAAGTCACCATGCCTGGAATTAACAAAGATATTTTATTTTTTAAATAGTTATTATTTTTATTTTGTGTACATGAGTATATTGCCTGCGTGTGTGTAAGTGCACCCATGTTGTGCAATGTCTACAGAGGTCAGAAGAAGGCATCAGATTCCCTGGAACTGGAGTTACAGATGGTTGTTAGCCACCGTGTGGGTGCTGGGAATCGAATCCCGGTCTTCTGAAAGAGCAGTCAATGCTCTTAACTGCTGAGCCATCTCTCCAGCCCCTAAAGATATTTTAATAAAGGCTTAAGCACCAGAATTAACAGAGAGGCATTCAGAAGAAAATTAAGAAACACCAAGAGCATGGGTGTGGGCTTCTCAAAGAAGAGTCATATAAAGTAAGACATATCCAAGCGTGGGAGTGTATACTTTATACATCACTTGAAAATAGTTGTGGGGCTGGAGAGATGGCTCAGCGGTTAAGAACACTGACTGTTCTTGCAGAAGACCCGGGTTCAAATCCCAGCACCCACATGGCAGCTAACTCCAGTTGGAGTCCATAACTCCAGTTCCAGGGGATCCAACAGCCTGTTTTGTCCTCCGTGAGCATTGCACAGCACAGGTGCATTTACCTATATGTAGGCATAACATTCATACACATAAAATAAAAATAATAGCCAGGCGTGGTGGCGCACACCTGTGGTCCCGGCACTTGGGACACAGAGACAGGCGGATCTCTGTGAGTTCAAGGCCAGCCTGGTCTACATAATGAGCTCCAGGACAGCTGGGGCTACAAGGAGAACCTGTCTCAAAAAAAAAAAAAAGATAAAACTATGCCATCATTATGCTTTTCTCTATTTTGCAGAAGTGTGTGTTTTTATACTTCTTTTGTTTGTTCTTTGAGACAGGATCTTGATGTGTAGCTCAGGCTGGCCTTGAACACTATCCTACTTTAGCTACTCAAGTGCTAAGATCATGAAAAGGATGCCTTCATGCCCAGCCCTAGAGGTTATTTTTATGTCATGATATAAAAATGAGATACAGCTTATATTTAAGATAGGGTTTATTTGTAAGAGAAAACAGAATAAAGAGAAAAAAACTTTACATGATAATTACCATAACTCCAGTTTTAAGATTTGGTGCACTTGATTTTATGCATGTATATAGCACATTCTGTTATATGCCCAGTGTTGAGCCTAATAGGCTCCAGATGGGTAGTGTCAAACCCGTCCATGGTCACACAGTCTGGTTAAAATCGGTGGGTCACAAAGCAAAAAAGACCTGAATGTGGGAAGGGCCTGTAGGAAAAGTGAGGTGGGGAACTGATGACGGGGTAAAAGTAATAGAATGTGCTGTACATGTATAAGATTGTATAAGGACAGATTAATCAATAAGAAATTGTCAAGTGTGGCAACACATGCTGGTAATCCCAACGTTTAGTGAGCTGAGGCAGGAGAATCACAAGTTCCAAGCCAGGGGGCTGAAGCCAGCTGGGGTTACATTGGAAGACCTTAAAGTGCACCTGTGTCATTCAATGCCTGGGGTGTTCAGAAGAGGGTGTTGGATTCCTCTGGAACTGGAGTTAAGGATGATTGTTAGCTGCCATGTCAGTTCTGGGAATAGAACCTGGGTCCTCTGCAAGAGCAGCCAGTGCCCTTAACTGTGTTTTGGTGTTTAATATGGCTTTCTTTATTCATTTTTGATCCCTCAGATAATATATTTGTTTTAAGATTTTATTAATCTAGAAGATATTTTATGAAGACCTCTTTAAATCCTTTTTCCCTTCAGGAAACGATTGTATATGGAAGTATTCGAATATACCCGCCCTATGATGCATCCTGAACCTGGAAAATTCTACCAGATTAATCCAGAAGAATATGAACATCCAAATCCATGGAAAGAGAGTTTCCAGCAGTTGGTATGAAATGTAGAAATAGTGGTTGATACTATGTATTTGTAAATAAGTTTTTTTATAAAAATAAATGTATCCAAGAATAGGCTATTAACTGGACATAGTGGCACACACCTGCAGTCCCAGCACTCAGGTAGCTGAAGATCACAAGTTCAAGGCTAGCCTGGTCACAGAGTGAGACTCTGCCTAACGGGGGGAAAAAAAATCAATAGCAGGGGGCTGAAGAGATGGTTCAGTGGTTAAGAGCACTGTCTCCTCTTGCAGAGGACCTAGTTTGATTCCCAGCACCCACATGGCAACTAACAACCCTTCTGAACTCCAGTTCCAGGGGATCCAGTACTCTCTTCTGGCCTCTGAGGGCACTGCACAACATAGGTACACTTGTATACATGCAGGGAAAACACATAAAGTAAAAAATTAATTTTTAAAATTCCAATAACAGTAAGCATCAGTAACATGGACAGTTATGATTCCATTGGGTTTGTCTGAACTTGTATATAAATTACTAGGTTTTAGTAGTTTTAAAATTCCACCTAGCCTTTTTTTTTTTTGAGTGGTTCTTAGCTAGGGGTAATTTTTCTCTAAAATGTCAAGAGATATTTGGCAGTCTTGAGATACTTTTTGTTTATCACAATGGGAGGCCAGGAATAGAGCTAAACATCCTTCACTACATGGGACATTTCCCACATCAAAGATTTATGTAGCCCAAAATAATAGTAGTGGTAAAATTAAAATCTGCCTTTCTTACTAGATAGTAAAATAGGTTTTCCATTGTACTATGTGACAAAATTAGTTGGAATGATTAGGAATTGTTTTATATTTAATAAATGTTACAGGGTGGTGCATTGATTTAGACTGTAATATTTGTGTATCAGCTAGTCAGTGTTTTGTTTTGCTTTTGACATTTTAGTATAAAGGTGCACATGTAAAGCCAGGATTTGCTGAACATTTCTACAGTAACCCTGCAAGATATAAAGGAAGAGAAAATATGTTGGTATGTTTTTTTTAATTAGCATACAAAGTGTGGGGTTTCATTATAGCATTTTCAAATAAAATTTGTTGATTCTCCTCCCTTGTCCCCTAGCCACTTCTTGCTGCCCCCATATTATGTCTTCTACCCCCAGTAGCCTCCCTTCCCACTTTCATGTCAAATGTGTTCTATACTACTATGAATTTACCTGGTCTGGGCTTAACTGATGAGTTTTTTTATGACTTCAGATGATAATCTTTCAGTTCTATATTGACACTACTTTTTTTTTTTTTTCTTTTTAGTATTATGATACTATTGAAGATGCCCTTGGTGGAGTACAGGAAGCTCATTTTGATGGGTTAATCTTTGTTCATTCTGGAATATATACTGATGAATGGATATATATTGAATCTCCAATCACCATGATTGGTGCAGGTATTTTGAAATGCATCATTGTTAGAATTTTAGCATCTTATTCATATTACTTAATCTACATTGAGCTTTTTTTTTTTTTTTTGCTAATGACTTAAATCCCATTAATCCAATTAAATTTTGTTAATGCCTTAATGGTAGGGAAGAATAACAATGAGGATACCTTGAATACCTTATATGTGAAGGAAGTAAAAGCATAAAAAGGTTAGAAATTGTAGGTGTACATTCTTTAACATTTATTTTTATTCATGCGTATGAGTGTTTTGCCTACATGTGTCTAAGTATATAATGTGTGTGCAGTGCCTGTGAAGGCCAGAAGAGGACACAGATTCCCTAGAACTTTAGTTATAAATGGTTTTGAGCCACCATGTGGGTGCTGGGAACTAACTGATCCAGGTCCTCTGCAAGAGCAGTGAGTGTTCTTTCTTAACAACTGAGTCATCTGTCTAGTCCCGATGTACTTTTTTTTTTTTTTTGGTCTTTTTGAGACAACATCTCTCAGTAGCCTCAGCTGACCTGGCACTCGCTGTATAGATCAGACTGGCCTCAGCCTCACAGTGATCCATTCTGCCTCGAATGCTGACACAAAAGCATGCACTGCCACACCTGTCCCCAATGTACATTTTTAGATGTCAGTACTGTATACTACCACAGAACTACCTCCCCAAACACTAATGCTGTTTTTATTCCTGTTTTTTTTAAAAAGTAACTTTTAAGCCGGGCGCGGTGGTGCACGCCTTTTAATCCCAGCACTCAGGAGGCAGAGGCAGGTGGATCTCTGTGAGTTCAAGGCCAGTCTGGTCTACATAGTGAGTTCCAGGACAGCTGGGGCTACAGGGAGACCCTGTCTCAAAAAGACCAAAAAAAAAGTAACTTTTTATACTGTTCAAGTTTCTAACAATAAGATATAATAGATGATAATAATAAATGAGTTACTAAATACTGATGAGTTATGTGAAGATTTGACTGGTTTCTTGAGGATACAGTTCATAGACCATTTTAAGGTAGCTAGTAATATTACTTGCTAATGAAGTTAGCATTTTCAGCCTCTCTGCTTCCCTCTCCAATCTCCATCACAAAGAAGAGGGAGAAAGGGATTGAGAGTATAGCCCAGTGGTACAGTGCTTGCTTAGCATGACCATCTGGCCTCAATCCCTAACACGACAAAAAGAGAAAAATTTGCTGCTGACTTTATAACTTTACAAATTAAGGTCCCTATTGAAAATAAATTTAAATACAAAGATATTGGGACTGTAAAGATGGCTCAACAGTTAAGAGCACTGGGCCGCTCTTAACAGAGGAGCCAGATTCAATTCCTAGCACCCACTTGGCAGCTACCAGTCACCCGAAACTCCTGTTCCAGAGGAATCCAACACCCTTTTCTGACGTCCTCAGATACTGCATGACATGGGTGCACTTAACAATGCATGCTAACAATACATTCATATATATAAAATTTAAAAAAATTTTTTTTTTA